TATAAATGGTACTGATCATGTTTATATAGAAAGAAATTTTGCTCTTTAGGATATTTTTCATTAAGTTAGATTTCCAGAAGAGACATTAATATGTCAAAGAGACATTAAAAACCAGGATAAAGGATTTTTTAAAAATCAGAAAAACATGAGAAAATTAAAATGTTCATCTCCAACCAAAACCCAGAGTTAATATGTTAAAACATTTCAGTGTTTTTTCTATCTATTATTGTCATTGGGATTTTAATATACATATAGTTTTATCATCTGCTTCTGCACCATTTAAATATTGTGAACATTTCTCCATATATATATATATATATATTCTTTAAGAATGTAGTTTTAAAAGCTGCTTAAGAACCTACTATATTTTATTTAAATTGAAATCTCTTTATAGTTTCCAAGTTTTATAATTAAAAATAATGCTATGATGAAAATTTTTGTATATAACTTTCTGTAGGGATATCTATTTCATTAACATAAATTCCCAGCAGTCAAATTATTGTATCAGAGTATGGGCTGTTCTGTGGCTTTTGATACACACTGCCAAATTCCCGTCCATATAGTTTGATCAAGTTATATTTCCATCAGCAGAACATCAGTGTTCCCAGCCATTGTCCACCTAGTTTTATTTTGAAAACTCTGTACTAATTGGATAAGTGCTAAATTCTACTTCATCCTAATTTGCCTCCCTGACTAGTGATGGTGAATGCTTTTTCATATGGTCATTGGCCATTTGTGTTGCCTTTTCTTTTATTTACTTATTTTGGCAAATTGTTTCTTTTACCCATTAAGGTGTTTATTTTGGGTTACTGATTTGAAAAATCTCTTTAAATATTAAGTATCTTAGCCCTTTGTCTATCTTAAATATGGTACAACAGGTATGGGCAGGTTAAACTACATAGTATAAAATTGCTACCCATATTGATATAAAAATTGTTTATTTGCTAGGTTACATTTTTTTATCCTTTGATTTCTATTGAACTTGGTCAGTTTTCTGTGTATTAACTGGAATTTTCTTTAGCTACTTTAACATTCTGATTTGACTATATCATAAATCACTAAACTGTCAGTTGTATATGCCTAGAAAATGTATATTTACTTTAATAATAAAGGGATACTGGAGGGAAACAATATATTTTGGAGCCAAATATGTGATTTGGGGTGGGTGGAGGGTAAGCTGCTCTGTCTTCTCCTCCTAGATATCCAAGATTGTGGAAGTAACATCCCTGAAAGTCAGGACTAATGTACTACTAAGTCTGACCTTTGACCTCATTGATCACTGTACAGTGGTCTAGCCAGTCAGTGTGGTCAGACAACCGGGTGACTAAGATTCCCTCCCCTCTCCCTCACCAAATTGATTAGTTGTGGGGCAGAACTGACTGAGTCAACCTGTTGTTTTGGCACCCCATGGACACCACCTGTTTTTTCCATTTCTCCTTCCAGCCTCCCACTGCCCTGGTGCAGAGCTGTGTGCACAGTGGGTAGGAGATCAATGTTGCTGAAGAATGTTGCAATAAAAAAGAGTAGATTGTGTTTTGGCACCCCATGGACACCACCTGTTTTTTCCATTTCTCCTTCCAGCCTCCCACTGCCCTGGTGCAGAGCTGTGTGCACAGTGGGTAGGAGATCAATGTTGTTGCTGAAGAATGTTGCAATAAAAAAGAGTAGATTGCTTTTTTTTTTTTTTCACGGTTGTGTGTTCTTAAGACACCCTGCTGCTTTGGACATTAAGAGCTCCAGCTGAACTGCTCTATTGCAGAGGCCCTGCAGGTCTTAAGTGTTTGATTCCAAATAATTTCAGGCAATATGAATGCTTTCTTAAGTATTATTGGAATTTACTGGGCTGGTTGTTTGCCAGCTTTTACCATATTTAGCATGAGGAGACCTGGAGAACAAGGAAAAGCACATTTCTGACCAACCAGGGAAGGAAACTTCTCTTGAAAGATTGAAAAAATTTTTAAAGGGGTAGTTAAGAGAGTACCAGTTAGAATGAGATTCCAGCTTGTGTCCGGTTGTTTCTGTGCCCGAGCCACACAGTTAATTTATGGATGATGATAATCGAGATTTGATAGGGAAGGTTTTTCTTACCCTGAAGTCTCATAGTGTTTCTGGGAGGAAATTGGAGAATTTTTATGCCTAGACTGTGCAGTGAGAGGCTTACCCAGCAAGTGAAGCAGTTGATTAAAAACGGGTGGATGAGTGTTATTCTCTCATCTCTCTTCTCGAAGGCTTATTCGTTTTCTGCTTTGTCATGGTCTGGATTTATTTTGGCCCAGTCCTTCCCTCCATCCAGCCTTCCCTCTATGGCTTAAAATTTCTCTGTCTCAGTTTTTCCATTTTAAAGATGAAGACAGCATTTGGAAGGACCAGTCAATACAGTGACCATGAAACTTATTTTTGTAAAGTAAAAGAACCCCAACATTTCCGTAGCAATGCAGAGCTTACAGAGCATTCGCACACAGTTGCCTCCTTCAATCCTCACAAACCCTTGGTGGAAACTGAGCCTCAGAGGGGTTAGTTGGCTTGTACACCATTGTTTAGCCCTAGCTAATAAGCGACAGAGCTGAGACTTAAACGTGTGGTTAGACTTTTAAACCTCAGCTTAAAAAATTTTGGGGGGGAGGGGTCAAATTATGTGTTTGCCATTCTGCTAGGTGGTTACACGCCTTTCTTCATTTAAGTCACATGGCTACCTCTCCTTTGGGGTGGACAGTACTTATTTACCTATATTACAGATAAGGAAATTGGAGCTTAGGTTCATAGCTCTGGGTATTGGGGTGAATCTCCTGGTTGGTGAGGGATGGAGTCAGGCTTCAAAGGTATGTCTGGCGCCGGGGCCTGCAGCTGACCCTGATGTTCTGTGTGCATTTATACAGTCTCACACCACAGCAACCCAACAAGATGGGGAGTAGGTAAATTGGGGTAACTGAGGCCTACAACATGCTCAGGAAAATGCAATTACTAAATGGCGGAGTTGGGATTTGGAGCAAGTCTATCTGTGTCTATAACCCTTACTCATTCCTGTACAATGGAGATGCATGTGTTGATATGTATAAGTAAAAATCAGTACCTAAGACTCAGTGTTTTGAGTATAGAGGCTAGCTGTTAGGAATCCTTTGTATCTTCTGAATAAATAAGAAATGGGGGGGAGGCGGGGGCATTCGTTGACTGATGGACTTTGCCTTCTCTCAGTTGATTTCTGTCACCAGGACAAGCAAATTGAACTTGAGTTGAGAAGAGGGGAGTTCCCATTAAAGATGAATCTTTCAGCCCAAATGGGCCACAGCTATGGGCCGTTCCGAGGGCTGCTCTCAGGAGCAATGGCCCAGCTCCTAAGGGACTCTGCTTGGGGACAGCCCTGTCTGTGTTTCTGTAGACTCCTCTTTTCCAGGGAGTTGTCAGCTAATGCGGAAAGAGGGTGGGGATACTTACAGGTCTGGTTCTAAATGTACTAGCCCTGTGTCCTTGGGCAAGTTTCTTAAGCACTCCATGCCTCAGTTTCATTATTTATAAAATGAAGATAATAGCAACACGTAATTGTTAGGGTTGTTGTGAGGATTAAATAAGCTCGTAGTGTTAAATTCCCAGTACAGACAGTAACTGCCACATCGTAAGAGAGCAGTAAATAGTCATTGGTGGTGATGGTGGTATTTCATGTCGTAGTATGTATGGACTGGCTTTTCATGGCTTTCACTTTTCTGTGTCAAAAATGGGGCGAGAAATAGGAACTTCAGCTTTGGAGCATGTAGATTGTTCACTGGTTTCTGATGACCCTATAAATATTTAGGGGTATTGTATTTGCGTCTGTTCCCTTAATGGGATATAGTTCCAATATAAAAAAACTTCTATTATAAAAATTGCATTGATAGGTATTAAATTATTGATTTCACCAGACATTTGTGGTTGGATGTTGTGTTTAGTACAGAAACTGTGATTTTTCTGAGGTAGAGCTTTGAGGACAATATCAGGTCCAACACTTTTGCTCTCCGATTTCCTATGATATGGGATATTGTGTATCATAGACAAAGTCCAAAGATGTGAAGTGACTGGCCAGAGGGCCTAGAGCGAGGTCAGGGTTGGGGCCAGAATCCAAGCTTTGGTTTTCTAGTCTTTTCTCTATACCCACTACTCAATATGTCCACCCCTGTGTTTTGAGATCTGAAAATGGAACAGTGAAGAAGTGGGAAGGGTGGGGGAGGGGAGAAGTGTGGCCACATCGAACATGTCAGTGACAGCAGAGAAAAAATTTGCCTGAGCCCCTGCCTGTCCCTTTGGACATCTTTGTGGTGGTTAAGACAACCCAGCAGGGCTGGTGCCATTAGTGACTCAGAATTGGATTAGCCGGGGCTGGTGGAGTTACTTTCTCAGAAAAGGGTTTCATATTTTAACATTTGTTTCCTCTACAGTTTGCTTAGTCTCAAGTTTTGGCAGCCTTGAGCAAATGGTTGTCAGGTTTTTTGTTTTGTTTTTAGACAAAACTCCAGATTTTATTTTGATGATTTAGTAAACTTTCCTCTTCCTACCACTCCCTTCTGCTCCCTATATAATTATTTCCAAGACTTTGTTTTTCACTTGTGGGAGTACTATGAAAGGTTTTCTTTTATAGTCTGAGATATTTATAATTATGCGTAAGCACACTGTTTACAGAAAATGTAAGTGGTGCATATATTAACTCATGTACACTTCAAATATTTTCCAATAATTTAAATCTTTTCAAAAAAGCAGCTGAAGCCACTTACAGTAAAAGAGGAGGTATACACTAAGGAAAGCAGTATTTGAGTGTAATTGATAGAGATAAATGTGTATGTCACTTTGGAGGAACTGGGAGTATTTGCATGAAAGTTGACCGGGGCATGTCTCCTTATTAATAAAGTGAACAACACAGATGAACATCTCTGTCCTCATGGGGCTTATCAGAAGTAACAGTAGCTTCCGTATACTGAGGGTTTGTTATGTGACAGATGCTGGGGGGAAAAGTACTTTGTCTGTTTCTCTTAGTCCTCACAGTAGGTATTTTGATTCCTATTGAGTGAGAGGTTAAGGGATGGTCACCCAGCTCACCCAGCTTGTGGGTGATACAGAGCAGCAACCAGAGCCCCTCTTCCCTGACCCCAAAGCTCACACGCTCACCCACTCTCAACAGTGCCATTGTCTGCAGTCCCACAGATAATAATGTACCTTTAGATGTACTAATATTTTGTGTACTCCACTGACTCAAGTTTTACTCTTCTTAATTTCTTTCCTCTGAGTGAACATTTGCATAACATGGAAATGATTTAACTTTTAAAATTCCATTTTGAAGAGTTGCCGTTTTTTTCGAAATCTTTTTTGAAAGGGGAAGAATGGATTCATGTTTGTCATAATCCAAGGGAAGTTATTTAGTGTTTCTTTCCCTGTTAACTTCTTGATCCTAAAAGAAATTCTTTAGTGGATTAAGAACAGAAATGAGTGTGTCACTTTTTTTCTTTTCAATAAAAAAACATTTTGAAAGACTGAAGATGGCAATCCAGAGTCATATTTGTGCCGGCTTTTTCAGTTACAGATCACTTTTTCCTGACTGTGCACTTGTATTCTTATTGTACCGTTCTGAAAAGGACGTCAGAGACCATGTAAAATGATTGGAATGCCTCAGCGTATGAACAATGGACATAGCCAATTACTAAAACTACCCAGGACTAACCCATCTTGGCCTGGGAACTTTGGAATTAACTGCGTGCGGCATTTCTGCACATATCATTATAGAAAAAGCACGCGGGTAACCTTGGTTTTTCTTTTCTGGGAACTTTTGCCTTATTATCATCTCCTTTGTTACTGAAAACGGATGGTTGTCTGTACTAATACATGAGAGAAGTATGTTTGATACCAACAGATAATCCCTTCTGTTTTAAAATATAGTCCTACAGATGAGTGCTCAGACGTGGGTCCTTGCAGACATACCAGGCTTCCTCTTTTAAGGTTTAGTTGTGTCAGCCGCCAGTAGAATAGTGAAGGAGAGAATGTCCAGGGATATTGAGGATAATGAAAGAGATCAATAACAGCGAAAGTTGATTATTTATTTTTAATTATCCCTTGGAATGACTTTTAGATACCCTTTTTTGGAACCAGCTAGACTTGGCTCTGATGCTTAGCTAAGGATATTGGGCAAGCCACTTAACTTCTCTAAGTCTCAGTTCCCTTGTTTATGTAACGGGAATAATAGTAGTCATACCTAACTTGCAGAATTGTTTGTAAATGTTGGAAACAACATTTAATTGCATGATCTTGAGCACAAAATAGGCACTCAAGTGCGGAGGCCCCAAAGTTTGAACTTCATTAGCCTCCTGGTAATTCCCCGTTTGGAAGATACGGGCTGGGAATACTTGTCTCTGGGCCTCCTTGTTTCAGTTTTCTTTTAATGATTCCCTTTAGACACTGCTCCATTGCCAGGACAAAATTATG